GAGAGACGTTGCCGTGCGGCGGGTGGGCGGTGCTCTCTGTTGGGGTTTGGTCGGCCTGGGGGTCGGCGGCGGGTTGGTCGTTGCAATGGCGGCTGTCAGTGTCGCTCATGTCGATATCGGCGGCTTCATTGTCGCGGTGGTCTGGGGGCTGCTGGGTCCGGGGCGAAGTTTGCGAGACCTGGGACGGGTAGGACTTTGCGTCGCTGGCGGCCAATCTCTGCAGTGGCGGGCGCGGAGTGGGTGGCGTTGCAGTCGTGGACGTGGCTCTCTTGGAATCAGGAGAGGGTGTCGGGGCCTTTGTCATTATGGCATTCCCCAGCGTGCCGCGTAGAGCGCAAGTGGCGTGGTGACGGGGTCGGGGTCGGGATAATATGGTGCATAGATGGGACGGGTGGGCTATGACGTCGCGGAGAGAGTTCCTGGCAGCGCGGGACGGTGAAGAGGCGGCGACAACAGCACGACGGATAGGCCGAGCAGGCGAGCCAGCTGGGGCTGAGGCTGAGGCTGCTGCTGTAGCGGCAAGACGGGCGGCGGCGGGGAGTCAGGAGGGAGCAGCGGGGGGGTGGTTGGTGAGAAGGAATTGGGTCGTGTCGTGGGTGGGCGTGAGGCCGGGATCAGGAGCAGGAAGGGCCTTGGTCGCAGCTTCTTCTAGACGGCTTCTGGAGCCAGGCCAGGCCTGCACCGAGTGACGGCAGACAGGGCGGCAAGCGTGCGGGCAGGCAAGTAGTGCGGAAACGGGCTGGGGGGCAGGCGGTTGATGGCGTGCAAAAGCGTGCGGGCGCCGAAAAGCGTCGTCCTGCGGGCTCATTGCAGCATCCCGCGCGAGCGAAATTGACTGTTGGCGGACGGGCGTGGTGTGCCCATGGTGGTGCTTGGCGGCGACGTCATTCAGGGACTCGCGTAGATGCCTGGGTAAGCCGAGAGGCTGTCGCAGGATAGTAGGCGTGCACGCCCACTGTACCGCCCTCGCCGTCTGCCTGTCTGCACGGTAGTGTGCACACAACTCGACTCCATGCCATCCCCTGCCGCCGCCCAGCCATGGCCACGACCCCCGTCCCCGCCGTCGCCTCTGTTGATTCAGCTGTGGCTGCGTCTGCAGTCACGTTCGCGTGGCGCTCCACCGCTTTTGTTTTTTGCAACCTTGTGCGTGTCTGCCCGCAACGGCTGCATCTGCCCTGGCTGGAGCCGAAACGGTATGCCCCGCGCCTGTGATTGGCCCGCCTGCCATGTGCCGCTTTGCCATACCCCCCGTATCGGGCTAGCGTCCTCCTCCTCGCCCATCGCAACCGCAACCTCCATGCTGCTGGCTCACGCCGGCCACCAACTAGCCCACGCCTGCACAGCACACGACTCACCAGAGCCTCACTGGCGACGCCCTCCGCCCGTACGTGATTGACGTGTCGACTGCGCTATCCCGCTCCAGACGCCCATGGCACCATTAGTGGTGCCATACTGCTGGCGACTGTAGCCCCCCCTGGTCCCGCATCTGCAAGCTCTGCTTCAAGCATCTTGTGCGGCTTGCGCGCTTGTGCGTCCAATTCCTGCTGCATCCGTGGCAAGCATGCCTTGTAGACTCGCCTCGCCTCGCCTCGCCTCGCATCTGCCATTGCAATTGCGACTGTGCGCATGCTGGAGTGGCCACGCGAAATCAAACTCGCTCGATCCCTCGCCCACCCTCTAGTCGTAAGGAGCCGAGTGGATCCCCCCTCACGTGCCTTGTCCACTTGCACCAAGCAACCCCCACCTATCCTCTTGTCTATCCGACAAAGTTTCGGTACATGCAATCTGCCAGACGCCTCACATGCGCAACACGACTGTGTTTTGCATACATGTCATACGATATTTACGACTCGCCATCTCTAGTCTAAAATCCCGGGAACACGATCCGCGCCAATTGCGGGTACCTTGCATTGCCCACCACAAACATACACGGGATCTACACAGAACCGCATCACATACGCGCCACAGTTGGAACTCAATCACTGCAATTTGACTGTTTGCTACCACTGCACCGTTGACGCAAGTGTCTTAAGCCAGCATCAAGCACTCCAGGTCTGATTTTGCACCGGTGCGTCGTCAACAATAGGGCTGCGCAATCATACGAAAACATGTCGTGCTATCCCTGTTCCCTGTCGAGACCGGGCAGCACAGCGGCCCAAGCCGGTCCTGATTCAGTGACAGATCGCGATGCAGTGGTTGCTGTATTCGAGCAGACTACTGGCCAATCACATCAATCCGAACATGAACGTTATTCCTCACACATGGCTGCCACGATCCACCTTAACCGTCATCCGAGTCAGCCCCGCTCTGCCTCCGAATCCTAGCTTCGCCTTGTGCGTTGTCTGTGCAAACGTGCAGCGTCATGCCTGAAGCCATGTCTTATCTACAGACGCACGTATCCATTCATGTCTAGTCCTTGGCGTACGGCGTCCCCTTGACTGTGGGGAGAGACCAAAAATATCTTCACATTCCAGCCACATCTCCAGTTTGATCTGGTTTGCACCAACAGCCACACAGGTAGCCAAGTTTCATGGCTATTCTGGCGCAGTGGCGAAACATCCAAAGTACTCTTATGTACACTTACGCCTCCTAAGTAGCACATGAAAACTGGTCGGGTGCGGGAACGTCGTGTATGCTCTTTGACACCGTTGGTCAATGTTGCTCACTGGCTTTTCATGCTGGGAGAATTAGATCATCTGGGATGCCATACACAGTCCTTTGCAGCCCATGGATCATTTTTCCTTTTCTCTGTCCAGCTCTGCTCAGTTAAAAGACACTTGCGACTAGTCTATTCTTTATGGTGATATTTCTGCGTATGGAAACCTCGTGCAGGCATGCAACCATTATTAACTTTCTTGTAAGCACGTAGATGCTAAAGACACTGCCCTTTGGAAGTAAATGACAAAGGCGTGTGAAAAGCACACAAAAAGGTCGTCCCTCATCGGCGTTCCGACACAAGGAAAACATCTCCGTGACTTCCCTGGCTCAGCCCATTGCCCCTCTTCTCCGCATTCCGGACCCTCGATTTTCCTCCACATTCCGCGCCGGGCCCAATTCCGCCATGCCGATGGAACCCATACTAAACCATTGCCCGAGGCTGCTGCCATGTTGGACCACATTTCTCCAGGAACTCTGCGTTCCTTTTCCATAATCATTCGACGAGGCATCTCTGGCAAAACATTTCTTCTTGGACAGTAGCTGTTCCTCGGTGTTCGCATTCGTACTCGAACAAGATGCCTTCGATATCCCACTCTCTCCGCACTGCGCGCACCTTTTCGCGAAGTACAACAAAGGTTGTCCCTGCCCACCAATTGATTCTCAACGTATTTCAGGGCAGCGATTGACTCCAACAGACATATCTCAACCTCTCGCGCTCCTTTTCTTCGTCTCTCCGCCGCAATGAAATCAACAAAGTGTATCCCAGCGCTGCAGCCGCCATCGAAGACATGCAGCCCAACAGCACACTGCTCTGCGGTGGATTCGGTCTATCTGGCGTACCAGACACACTGATCGAGCAAGTCAAGAACACACCTAGAATCACCGGCCTGACTGCCGTCTCCAACAATGCCGGAGTCGTAGGAGGCGGTCTCGGCTTGCTCCTCGAAAGCAAGCAAGTCAAGAAGATGATTGCCAGTTATGTAGGCGAGAACAAGGTTCTCGAGCAAATGTACCTCACCGGCGAACTCGAGCTCGAACTCACACCCCAAGGCACTCTGGCCGAAAGATGTCGAGCAGGCGGCGCCGGCATCCCAGCCTTCTACACACCCGCCGCCTTTGGCACCGTTGTTCAAACCGGCGAACTCGCCCTGCGTCACAACAACGACGGCAGCGTAGCCCAGTACTCGACCCCGCGCGACGTCAAAGTCTTCTCCGGCAAATCCTACGTCATGGAAGAAAGCATAAAGGGCGACTACGCCTTCATCAAAGCCTACAAAGCCGACCGCCTGGGCAACGTGCAATTCCGCTTCTCCGCCCAAAACTTCAACGGCGCAATGGCCCGCAACGCCACCACGACCATTGTCGAAGCCGAGCACATTGTCGACGTCGGCGAAATCCCCCCCAACGCCGTCCACGTCCCCGGCATCTACATTGACCGCGTCATCCAGTCCACGGCCGAGAAAAAGATTGAAAAAGTCGTAAACGCAAAAGACCCCTCCGAGGCAATGGCCAGCCTGGGCAAACGCGACCGCATCGTCCGCCGCGCAGCCAAAGAATTCAAAAACGGCATGTACGCCAACCTGGGCATCGGCATGCCCATGCTCGCCCCTTCCTTTGTCGACGCCAGCGTAGAAGTCCAGCTCCAGTCTGAAAACGGCATCCTAGGCCTCGGTCCCTACCCGGCAAAGGGCCAAGAAGACCCAGATCTCATCAACGCGGGCAAAGAAACTGTCACCCTCGCTCCCGGCGCTTCGTGCTTTGGCTCAGAGGAATCATTCGGCATGATACGTGCTGGTAAAATCGATCTTACTATCCTCGGTGCTATGCAAGTTTCGGCCAGAGGCGACCTGGCGAATTGGATGTTGCCCGGCAAAGTCAAGGGGTTCGGAGGCGCCATGGATCTCGTGTCGAATCCGCAAAAGACAAAGGTCGTGGTTACCATGGAGCATACAGATAAGAAGGGGAGACCCAAGATTTTGAAGCAGTGCGAGTTTCCGCTTACGGGCAAGGCCTGTGTTAGTAGGATTATTACAGAGTTGGTGAGTTTGGCACTCCCCCCTTCCCTTTGAAATATGGCATGAGAGAGAGAGAAAATGTTTCGGTTTACTGACGATGAAATGTGTCTGTGCTAGTGTGTCTTTGACGTCGACTTTACAGAAGGTCTCACCCTGGTTGAACTCGCAGATGGAGTCACGGTCGACGAGATTCGACAGAAGACTGGTGCCGAGTTTAAGGAGGCGGCTGAAATTAAGCCCATGCTGTAAAAGAGAAGAAGAAGAAAAATTACCGTATCCATCAAATAGACATGAAAAGATCAAAGGAAAAGAAGAAACCAAGGCCGAAAATAAATACCATTTCCATGAACAAAAAAAAATCCCTTTACCTACCAAGAAATTTATAATTTGTACCCCTGTGATTTGATACATGTATATGTATACTTATCCATGTGTATAACTCTTCGAGAAGAAAATAACCCACCATTTCCATCTATAGGATTCCCCCCTCCCTAAAAAAAAACGAGATGCAACGATTGATAAAAACTCTCCCCCCCCCCNGCACTCTTTGAACCAAGGGTTAAAAAAAAGGCAATAAGAAAAATATCCACAATTCACCCTTTCCACCCCACATACACACCTCAATCATCCATTCCCAAAATTAAAAAAAAAAAGACTGCAACAATAACAACACTAACCACCGCCCCCCCCCGCTCAATCCGTCCTCGTCTTCGCACTTCCACTCGCCCCATGAATCTCAGGATCATACTCCTCACCCTTAACCCTAGCCGCCCTAACCCTAGCCTCCTTAGCCTCCTCATCTGCACTCTCCGGCTCATCAATGCCGACCTCCCTCCTCCTTTGCCTGTCCCAAGCCTCAGCCTCATCCTCACCATCAGTCTCCTCCTCCTCGTCGTCTTCACGGACAACGCCATAGCGGGCATCCTGAGGGGGCTCAGCGTCTGGATCCTTGATGAAATTATCGATGATCCAGTACTGCAGGGCGTTCATGATGAGGGGGAAGACGAACATGACAAAGGCGATTTGGAGGGCCGTGTTGCCTTCTGTCCAGCGGAGCGCCCAGTCGCCGATCCAGGCGATCCAGGGGACGAGGGCGAAGAGGACGAGGACGCAGAGTTTCATGCCGATGAGGCCGAGGAAGTAGATGATGGATTGCTTGAGCCACCACGTGGCGCGCGGAGGGTGGCCATAGTTGCCCGATCGGATCGATTCGGGCGGATTGGCCAGAGGGGTTAGGGAGAAGGCTTTGTGTAGGAGGCGGAGGAGGAAGACGAGGATAGGGATGCCGATTGTGGTCTGTGTTGGATTGTATTTTTTTTTAGTTCATGGGCAAAAAGGGAGAAAGGTGGCGAGGAGGACTTACGTCGATGGCTAGGTTCAAGAGGTAAAATGAACATGGGTTTGGCTGGTCGCCCTCGTTGTCTTTGCTGACCAGGTGTGTGGTGGCTGGTGAGACGGTGGCTACGTCGAATTTGCCAGATGAGAGCATCGACATGAGGATGTTTGCGAGATGGAGTAGGGCTGAGCCAAAGACTTGCTTGGATACGTCGAAGAACCAAATCTTGAGCGGTCGGCGGGGATGTTCGCGCATTCGCTTGACCGCGAGCGATGAGACAGCAAGAAGTCCTAGAGCTGCTTGTACTAGCAAGGCAAAGTCTCCAAGGAGATTGCACTCGCCATTTCCAGATTCACCATCCATGGGGTTTCCTTGTGCAGCGGCTTGTTTGTCGGGCACTCCCGTCTCCAGAGGCTTCGTGTCTGGCGCAGCAGATGTGGGCCTGTGTACGTTCTCGGGCGCAGCTTCTTCGTTGTTCGCGTTCGCTTCGTCGTCTGTAACCGTAGCACTGGTGGTCGCTGGTGCAGGATCGGTGGGTTTATCTGGTTGCTCTGTCTTCACAGGTTCTGGCTCAACGCCATCGATGCCCATAAGCTCGGTCTCGAACACTGTGGTCGCATCTTGGTTAGCTTATCGTTCTAGCGAATAAGAAAAAAGAAGAAGAAGAAATATCAGCCACACAAAACGTACCGAGTGTCGATCCGGCTGGAATGACATCGATGGCGTGGTTTCCATATGCCAGTTCCGGTGGTATCGTCAACTTCCTGCCCTCTCCAATACACATATCTAGCAGCCCTTGATCCCAGCCCTTGATCACCTGGCCCCTTCCAATCGTAAACCTAAATGGCCTCCCAGAATCGTAACTCGAGTCGAACTTGGTGCCGTCGACCAGCGTGCCCTTGTACATCATGGAAACCTTGTCTCCGTTTTTTGTTTTGCGCGTGCATTCCACTGGTCGTGTGACTTCGATCTTGAGATCTGCTGCCAGTGCGACCGAGGGCAGCAGCGCCAGTGGGAGCGCGAGAAGCGCACTGAGGGTCCGCATGACCGCGGCGGGAGAGAGAGAGAGAGGGGGGAAGGTAGAGAAGAAAGGGTGGGTGGCCGCGCAGTTCGCAATGTACAAGGCGGTCGCTGATGTTTCCCGTGACAAGAAAATAAAAGCCACAAAGCCGCAAGCTATTCGTCGGCGGCAAGACAAGGTATGGGTAAGCAGAGACGTTTGTGTACTCTCAGCCACGGATCGATGCTGATTAAGGTCGGTTCTTCGGGTGAACGTGTCAAGGGTGAAACGCCGTCCGTGTGGCGCGCTGCCAATTTGGATGCAGCAGCTGCAATAGTGACAAGAGATAAGGAATCGTGCAACAGGAGGGGGGTTAACTGGCGCTCAACGCCAGACTGGGTGGTGGGTGTGCTGGCTCCTGACGTGCATGACACCTCGTGAGGGTAAGTTGAGTTAGGGTCCAATGGGCAAGGGTGCGCCTAGAGCCCGTGGCGGCTCAAGTGGCGATCATTACGATGGTGTGCATGCCGGACTGATTGGCTGCTGGGACAGGGCCCAATGACTACACATGGAAGCACGACATGGGGCACTAGGGTTCTATCGGAATGGGATTTGCATTTCAACTAGTATGTAGATTGGTTATGAAATACCGCCAAGGGGTTTACATACATAGCACTCACGTGCACAACATGCGAAGACGAGATGTTGATGATACAAAGCGAATGTCGTCGCCTCCTCCTCCCAACCCACCCAATTACTTGCAAAACGCCACTGATGCTACAAAGGGAAAAAAAACGACGCAGTTCAAAGGGACAAATTAGGAAATCCCCTCGGCATAATGCTGAAGGGCTTGGCAATGGTTGCTAGATGCATGCCTACTACTCGTGGTCCTCTGGCCGCTTCAATGGACTTGTCCTTGCCGGACTGTCCAATAATGCGGCTCCATTCACACCAGGCGCAAGCTGAAGACTGGTGCGCACTATGCTTTGCCCTGGCCGTACCACTACGCTGCCTCTCCTGTCGCGCTCCAGAGGATCTACTGTGTTCACAGCCGCATACTCGCTCTGGTTCTGCAGATGGGCATTCATGAGCGCTTCCTGCCTCATCTTCTTAAACTTCATGTAGTTGTATGCGGCAATGCTGCCAATAGTAACGACAAGCCCAGTCAGGTTGATGGGCGTAAGTGGATCCTTGAAAACGAGGTTTGCGGTTCCAATGGTAACTACCTCCTTGAAAATGCCACAAATGCTAAGGGTGACGACCGAAGTCCGCTTCAGCAGAGCAAACTCGGATGAGGTCATGAGAAAGGCCAGGACTCCCGGGAATAAAAGAATGCCAATGCCGAGAGCAGTGCCCTTTGTTTCGAATAGGTGTGAAAGGCCCTCCAAAAGTGCGGGGAAGCCTTCCACGGGTATCGCGAGAATGAATATGCTGAGGAACATGACAGGCGCAAGGAAGAAGATGGAGGAAAATGGGTTCGCCGTGGCGGGATTGCGCAAGAGCAGAATCTGGGTCAGGGACCAACGGAAGCCCGACGAGCACGCTGACACCATGACGAGAATGAAACCGAGCGTGTGAAAGGCAGCCTCACCAGCTACCATCATCACGACACCGGCAGTCATGATGAGAATGATGAAGACCAGTCTCCATGACGGTTGTTCGAGGCGGAAGAGGAATGCGAAGACGAGGACAAAGCCTAGTGCAGACGACTTGCACATTGCTGTTCATGTTAGTCCGGGGGGGTGTTTTTTTTTCCTAAACAGTGGCATGCGAGCACTTACTGAAAAAGGTTAATGAGATGAACTTCAAGCTCGTGTTACCCAAGCCAATGTCCATGCCAGTGGCTGCACCACAGGGTCCAAGCCTGCTAACGTAGAACCACTTGGTCATGAGCGGCTTCTTTGGGTCCAGCGGCTCGGCACGCCCTCTGGCGCCATGTGGGTTAAGGGAGTCATGTCTTGGTCGAAAGGAGGGTATGAGAAACAAAACGAGCGATGCGAGGGTAAACTGCACAATCATGTGCAGGCATGTGGTGAACAAAGGAAATGGGAAAATATTCTTCGTCTCGCCGTCGTCCTTGGCCTCCTTGAACATCCATTTGTTGTAGACGGAAATGGATATGGAGAAGAAGTACCTGGAAAAGGGTCAGTTTCACACTCGGTCGTGTGCATCTGCTGCAGTCGCGTGCTTACCATAGACCAATGAGGACGGCATTGATGAGCATGGATTTGAGGAGATTCTGGTCGGCAATCTTCTTCTCCTCCTTGGTGTACGTGTCGTCAGGAGCAATGCGCTGGTCGAGCAGGGTGTTCCTCCTCTTTCTTCTCCGGCGCCTGCGCCTGTCTCTCTTGGTGAGGCCCGTCTCCTCGTCATCCTCGAGCCCGTCTGCGCTCATGTCGTCGGTGTCGTGCTCGTCGCTGTCACTCAGGGAGTCTGAGTCTGAGCGGTCTGCGCCCGACGACTCTGGGCCTTCTTCGGCAATGTGGTCCGAAGGGCGGCGGCGGTGCTTCTTGGAGTCTGTTCTGGTGGGTAGGGTGGCGCCGGCGAGGGAGGAGGATCGTCGTCGAGCAGCGGCGTGGTCATCCGTCATGGTAAGGACGGGTGGGTGGATGAGCGTGGCGATTTGGGTGCGTTGGGGGACCCTAGGGCCTTCATCCGAATCGATGTCGGAGAGGGAGCTGTTGGAAGGAAGAGAGGGTAGGGTCCTGAGCGGGAACTCGTTCCCCGGACTAAGCAGCGGGCCTTGTGATGCAACCGAGTCTTGTAGCTGCAGCCAGCGAGTGATGCGGGCCTGCTCTGAAGTCATGCTGCGAGGCGGCGCTGTGCTGATTCGCCTTAGCCCTTCACCGCCAAGGACAGGAGAGGCTCTAGTTTCCAGCTCGGGGGCCACGGGCTAGCATCAGGGGCTGGTGCGGGGCGGTGCGTCAAGGAGATGCTTCAGAGCAACAGAAACAATGCAGGTACGCGAGGTGTATACCAGACAGCCATTTGCATTCGTCCGTACACGCGTATCGTTGTGTATATCCGGCCGTCTGCTACGCGGACGACGGCCTCGCTGTTGCTGCGGCGCCGCAAATTGCTGCCCACAGACACCGGGGCACGTCTGGTGCGGCAGAATGACGGCCAATCACCACCACGTGTCATCCTCCACGCGATGACTGCATTGGCGGGGAAGCACGCGGGAGACGATCCACTGCGTCATGTGACCATGCTGGCCGGCATCGAGTCTAGATTTCTACCCATTGCGGCAGATCCGAGCTGGGCGCCGGGCTACTGCACGCGAGCAGCACTCACGCCTCATACATGTCTACCCAACAACCTGCCCCCTGCCGTCGTTTGGAGCAGAGGGACAAAAAACTGGTTTGAAACAAGCGCACCTCCATGGGAAGCGTTGCAGCCGTCAGTTTCCCTTCCAAAAATAAACGGCAAGTATGCAATAAGCAAGCAAGCAATCCAAGACACGCACACGTGCTGAGCAACCGTGTCGTGGTGTTTCCATTTTTCTTCAAATAGCCTGTCTTGCATCCATGGCAGTGCCTAGTACAGGCCAAGCATGCGCCAACCATGCTGTGCATATCATGTAATACATGCCCAAAGGATATCCAAACTCAAACGCCATCGTATGCAAAACATAACAACAAGTAAACATTAGTGCCCGCTGCACACCCGTCGCTATATCGCTGCAGGCGGCACAACTGGCGCCGGCGGCAGCTGCTCAATCTGGCGGATCAAGAAGCTCTTCTCGTCGATAAACTGCTCGTCTTCTGTTCGGTCCTCGAGGAACGAAGGAAGGAAGCGCAGCAGCTTGTCCCGGTTGCTAATCAAGATGCGTTGCACTGCGACTGACTTGTTGGGGTTGGCCACAAAAACCTGCCATTGTAAGCCTTGCATCCAAACAGCTGCAACCCTGCCACTGCTCACCTTGAAGACGTGGAAACCCTCGTAGTTGATCATTTTCCTATCATCTCGCAAAAGCTTCATGATGATCTTGAGGTGCTCACCAGAGTCGACGTATTGTGTCATGACGTTGTAATTGGCCCGGTCCAGCAGAATCTCGCCCAGCAGCTTGATGGACTGGCGCTTTGTTACATAGCTGTCCGACTGAACCAACATCGTGTTGTACTTTGAGAAAAAAGCGTCAAAATTGGTTTGTAGGAACGTGGCTACCAATGGCTTGTGTTTGGTTAGGATTTCCTGTCAATATGTCAGTCACCTGTCTGAGGGTCCTCATGCCAGCCAATCTTACCCTGAACGTATTGAATGCGTCTGCGCTGACTTCAAATGCACCCTTGTCTATCCATCCAAAGAACTTCCAAAACACTCCGTTGCCAGAAGACGGTAGATCGGGGTTGACGCTGCCCAGGTCAAGTGTTTTTCCGTCCTCCATCGGCTCGTCGTAGAGAAGCAGCGCAGCAATTGCATCATACTTGAGCGCCTCGCGCAGAATTCCGCCACAGGGCATGGCGCTCTCTCGCCTGTCATAGCCTCGACATAGCGCTATTATGATATCCGGCCTGTATGCGACAACATGCTCCAAGACCTGCGGGGTTGGCTGGCCAGCGGGCTTGTAGCGGAATGCGGTCGAGAAGATGACTTGTGCGTCCTTTCGCGACTCGAACGGGAGCTTGTGTATGTTAATAGCCAGAGCATAGAGCAGGTCTTCGTTGAGTATGTTTGTAAGGAGCTGGAAGACGGCCTCTGGGTTGACTTCGGTATCTGTTGCAGATGTCAGCGCTGTACAGACTCGTGCACATGGCACAACCACAAAAAAAGGCGAACCATACCAGGCGTGCCCTGAAGCCGGACTTTCATCTGCTGCAGGTCGAGCGCAAGACCCTCCTCCAGCTGTCACGTGTTAGCCATGTTTTGCAGGCACCTCGACGCCGCCACATGGTCGCACCTTGGGATTGGGCTTGTCCTCCTGCCCAAGCCGCAGTGTGAGCTCCTTGATTGATCTCGTCAACTCAAGATTGTTCTTCTGTTTGTTCCGGAAGAGGAAAGCCATGTTGAGCGGTCTGCCAGGCTTTCCAGGGCGAGGGTCGATGTGGGATAGCGGCGACGACGTGTGGGGTTGCAACTTGGGGCCAGGGCCGAGAAGGTTCTATCTTGACGGCGACGACATACAGGCGGGAGCAGATGAAATTTGTCCTGACACAGCGGGGGGTTTGATGTAAGCAGGGGACG